TTATGAGCCCAGTGAAACACAATAATCGCTACTTAAGCTTACGTGTCAGCGGGTAACTTGCAGTTAACCAAATTTGGACACATTCGCAAATGGCTTACAGCCCAATATCTGCCCAACTCCAGATGCACCATCTAACTTTTGATAATCAGCCTGAAATATACCAAGTAAGTGGTGCAGTTAGTAAGCCTACTCGGGTTTTGACACGCCTATAATGCAACAGATTGAGGCTCGGCGTTCCTGAAGTTTGTCAGGCTCTTATGTTTGCTTAGACGTTAAATTTCAACGTATTGCACTGTGTGTAATTGAGCTTTAATTCGCCCGTAGATGTTTATACTAATAGCTGTGGCATTTCATACAGGCATTGAGATGGAGTCAGAAAATTTCTTTCATTCAGCTGACATGAGCAGTTTCGATGTAGCCGAAGAGCCAATATTTAATCCGTTCTACAGGTAACTTTAGGATTATTACTAATCGACTGACCCTTGAGGAATTTTGATGTTTCTGACACTAAGCAGTTGAACGCAATGCTTACCTCACAGAAAACCAAATAGTCTACGCCACTGCGGCCACTTTGGTGTAACAGGCCGCAGACGAGACTGCTCAGTTGATGAAGGCTTGAAATTTGACATCTAAAAGATTACATTTTACTAGAGCACCACACTCCACCCACACCCCAGTCACACCACAGCTCAACTCTGCAGCCCCTACAACTAAGGCTGTAACGCTGACCACCAACACGCAACTTTCAGCCGGTCAGTAATTCAGGCAGTCAAGCGCTCGGCAGGCAGGCCAGCTTACTCCTTGCTGACCACCGGTTTCTCCGTCTTCTTCGGCAGCAGCACCTCCTGGATGTTGGGCAGCAAACCTCTTTGCGCGATGGTCACACCGCCCAACAGCTTGTTCAACTCTTCGCCATTGTGGATAGCCAACTGCAGGTGACGAGGAATAATTCGCGTCTTCTTGTCGCGTGCTGCGTTACCCGCCAACTCCAGCACTTCGTCAGCCAGGTACTCGAGCACAGCAGCCAAGTAGACCGGTGCTCCAGCACCCACCCACACGCTCCGTATAGTTGACACGACGCAACATACGGTGCACACGACCCACGAGGAACTGCAGACCAGCTTGCGCTGACGTCGTCTTCGCTTTGGTCCGTAATTTGCCTTCTTTGCCTCTGCCACCAACCAACCGATTCTAGCGTGATAGCATCACGTGACTCACTGCCACCTTCTTATGCACTTCGACCTCTGTCTAAATATTTGGTAGATGGTTCCCTCGGTATGCATGTGTAGGTTAGCTGCATTATTATTAGATTTAGTTCATTTGTAAATCACTAATTAGCACATTAGCATGCCAAAAGTGACTCCCCACTTCCTCTTCCTCCTCTGATTGCCTCTGTGGCGGCAAGTGTTTCTGGTGAGCATTGCTTCAATTTGATTGCATCATTACTACTGCCAAGGCTTAAGTAGGAGGTAGACATTCAAACAGACCAGCCTGAATACCACAAAGTTGTGTACTTTTCTAGTTAACCCCCTCTCTGCTGAAAGAGATTTTTTTGCGTCAAAAAGTGCTATAACTTTTAAGCGCTGAGTAATTGTAGGCTTATTAGTACGTACAGGTTTC